GGATTGACAAGTTTATGGTATGGGTGAATGGTTCAGAAACAAGTAGAATGGGCTCCTTAATGACTGTCATTGGAACCTGGTCGTACCCAGCTGCTTTGCCTGGAAGAAAAGTTTTCGCAATCTCAGCGATCTCATCTTGAGTTGTAGGGTGGAAGAATGTTGACTGTGTAGAGGAACCATTAAGAAAACTAGGGTGTGAAGCTGACGACTGTATACCCCTTGCTAAATTAGGACCGATGCTTGAAAATTAACTACAAAACTTGTTGGCAATTTCGACAGGATCAGTAATTTCACAATCATCAGCTTTAAATGTTGAGCATCTATTGGAATTTCTTTTCCTTCTGTTTAGAATTTTATTTAAAACTTTCCAAGTAGCACGAGTATTAGCTTGAACGTTACTCAATTTCTTCTCGTAGTATAGACGTTTTGCTGTCCGCAGAGAATGATTTAATTTTGTTTTTATAACTTTTTTAAATTGATTGACGATCCATTCAGTGGATTTCGCAGATATTTTTTATAAAGCCTATTTTTCTTCTTAATACACCTAATAAGCGCATTGGATAGCCACGGCTTATTTAAACGGGACTGTTTTCTAGTTAATTTTTTCTACCTGATGACAAGTCTCCAAGAATGCAAAAGTAGTCTTGTTGCTCAGTGATCAAGTCGCTCGAGGGTGACTGAATCAAGCGACTTTTGGAAAACTAGCTCTGTCGCTATCAGCAGCGTTAAACACGATGGAAAGAGCTTCACATTGATTGTTATACAGGCAAACGCTTCGCAGAGACCTCCATCATAAATTTCTTCAAAGAAGATGTTTTCCGCTATGTCTAACAAAAATGCTGACAAGGGGTGTTGTGGCGAAAAACAATAAAACACGCTTTTTCTATGTTTTATACTCTGATAAAACATGGGTTTTTGACCAATCATAGCGAGCACAGGGTCCTATCAATATTATAATGTGCTATAAAGGAAAAGAAAGAAAGGAAAGAGAGGGAAAGAAAAGGAAACTGAAGAACAAGAGTTAAAGGTAGGAAATGGTCTTAGTAGATACTAGTTTTTTATTACTGTAAGAAGAAAGAATAATTGCTAGCAACTCAAATGGTGTTTATCTACATCTTTTGGTTTAATACTTGTCCATCGCTTAACGTAGCGGCTCTTGTACGAAATTTTGACTGGAGAGCCGACATTCAAGGGTTTTACATCCTGTAGATTAAGCCCGTTGTCCGATGTCCAAAACTCCTGAATGTTTGTAGAGACTAAGGTCCCGGTCACCACCTTCAACACCAGTGTCCAACCTGTACCAAATAAAGAACTTGACATTTTATACTTATTGTATTTTTCACCATTTTTAATAACTCTATTGATTGACTGACCGACTGACTGACTGGCTGGCTGGCTGACTGGCTGACTGCATTACTGACTCCATGGCTGACTGGCTGACTGGCCGATCTATTGACTGGACATGTTTATTCAATGAAAACCCGAATGTATACCACATAACACCGCATAAATTATGTCGATTATCTCGCGTTGATGGCCACTCAGAGTAGACTTTTTTATATTGTCAAGGAACCAATAACATAGAGCGCGGCCCCGAATTCTAGAGAAACAGCAGGATACTAGAATACGAATAATGGAGCAAACATTTACGGTCAAAGCTTAATACATTAAGAGACATTTACATGGCTATGTGGTGACCCCACAAATGTCATTGTGGAATGTTCAACTAATTCATGTTATACTTGGCAATTACTAAATTTCTTAACCTCATTTTAAAGCATTACCTCCTTCCATGTAATCTTGATCGCAGTAAAAAGGTAGCAGCCAGTTTCTGTCTGATATTATGTGCACTCCGCTCTTACGAATTCCGGCGTTCAGCAATTGGGCACAGTCCCTGTAAGGCGCTGAAACAAGATTAAACAAAATACAGCAGATCTATGCATAAGAAAGGGGAAGGGTTGGAGAGCGACAAATTTCCTTACGATACTACTTAGATGTCTTTCAAATTTGAATATGTAATAGGACTACATGTTTTCCAACTTGGAAATAATTGGATGAAAGATATTCCAAGGACTGTCAAAATTGGCCAACTGGTTTCGCGTTACCTATATATAAAACAGGTTCCGCGCGACATTGGTACCTTTTTCAAGGCTGAGGTACCGTAAACTGCCGCTTATAAGCCCTTGGCTTATACAACTTCGTAAGGGGTTTTTGGATGGCTTATAAACGGGGGAGCTTACAACCGAGGGGGCATATAAGCGGAATAAAAAAAAAACGTTTCGAAATGAGCCACAGCAGTGTTGTTCGAAAAACGTTTTTCATTTACTGGTTTTTAATAAAGCTTTAAAACGTCTTCCATTTCATTTTCAACTAGAGGGGAGCGGGGCTCATACCCGAGGGGGGCTTATAATCCGAAGTAATATTTCGTTTACAGGTAGATGGGCCTATTACCGCGGGAGCTTACAGGCGGGAGGGCTTATAAGCGGCAGTTTACTATATATAAAGGGGTAGGAATTTCGCGAGCTGAATTATAGAAAAGGGTACAAAAACTGTCATTTAGGTATGTAAAAGGCCGTTGCCAGGGGGGGCTGGCAACGGCCTTTGATCTTGCCACTTTTCGGCTTTCCATGATCGCCCCAGTTAAGAAATCTGTCAATCATCCGAGAACTGTAGCAAGCATGCGCGTAACGGGTTGGGAATAACAACAACAAGTTCGTCTTCGCAGCGATTCCAAAGTGTGAAGTGGATTCGCTTTTGGTCCTGTTGGTCGTTGCTTTATTTGCTGTAACCAATTTTTTTCCGCGGGAATATGGAGCTTACGTTTTCCTTTCTTCTGGTCTTGCGTTTGTTATTTCATGCGGTTTACTACGCTAAGAACGAGACCAGTGAACATGTTCCTCGATGTCCGACCTTTTGACTATGTGTTTCTGTTTAGAAGACCCACAACACTAAAAGAAGGGCCAACCCCCCAATATGTATGTAGAAGAATTTTTCTTTTCAAGTGAAAGGCCTAAAATTAATTCTTCGCGATATTCAAAAAAGTGCGGTGGCTGTGGTCGAGTAGAAGACTTGTCAGAGTTGTTTACGGTTTTACTACACCTTTAAGACGAGAAGAAATGATGATTGAGATTCTTAATTTTACATTATCCTGGCAGAGTTACGTTGGATGATTGAGTGGCATGGTCCAATATCGTAGTTCATATATTTCTTTATGTACTAGAAGCTGAATAAATATTGCCAATAGATCATTCTCTCTTGCTTTTGCACATGTTGATATGTTTAGGTTTCGTTCTTCGTGTGATTTAATTTACACTTTACCGTAGTTTCTAGCAAATGAATCTTAGGCAAATGAAAGGGTAATGATTTTTTGTGTTTGAAATTCTCTTTTCATGACAGAAGTTATTACACTGCCTTCAGTTTGAGTCCTCATTCAAGTGTGTTTTGTTGCAAACAAAGATGGAAAATTATAACTTCCAAAAACTACACTACCCCTTGTTGGAACAAGATTATGGTTTAAAAGAGATGGGATTAGCTAGGTTCAGAAAATAAATATTCAAGTTTGCATGTTTTGACAAGGACCACACCTGCTTAAATATGCTTCAAAGGGAATTTATAAAGTCAGGAAAATGGTGACATTTCTATTTTTGCCTTTCCTTTGGCCACTGTGATCAGTTTTTGCCATACAGTTGCATGTAATTATCGCACCTTTGGACATCAACCTGCCAGGTTAGTTTTTGTCTGTATATAAATGTTGTTAATCAAATCAAATCCTCTCAACTTAAAAAATGGCTTGTACTTGGATATGAAAAACACCATAGGATGGAAAAAAATGCAAAATCATATTATGAAGATAATATATTTATTTGTAGTCAACAATAACAGTTAGAAACTTGTGTTGAGGCAGGCAAAAACCTTTTTCAGAGACCATAAACATTCACTGACTTTGCTGTTACAACAAGTGGTAAAGGGTATTAAACTGTGAGGTCACCTCCTTGGGCTTGCACTGAAAGAGAGTATGGGTAGTAGGACACATTGTTTATTTCCCTACCCTTTTGAAGCCAAGAGACCTTATTTTATAATTCTGATTCATTTCATTTAGCATAGAGAATTAAGTTAGCTTTTAAACTTAGAAACATCATGAAAAAACTTGGGGAAAAATGGTGGTACCAAAAATATAACTACAGACTGCTCTTCATCAACCTTCACAGCCCAAACAGACACGCTTTTCAAAACTCTAAAGGGTGAAATGGTCACCACCCTAAAATTATCAGCAGCACATACCTATCTAGGCCAAATAAGCCAAGGGTAGTATCGTAGAAAGAACTGCTGAGGGGATTGGGCTTAAGGGACAATAACTTCTTTTGATGGTTGATAAAAAATCAATTTATTTTACCATGATTGTTTTCCTTTCTAACCAAATTCTGTTGGTTACTAGGTACAGTTTTTATTACATTTGAATATTGTATTTTTGGTTCCTTACCTTGTTAAATATGGATTGCTTCAGGTTGATTATTTCGTTGGATTGCAGTGCAAAATGCTCTGTGGCAGCCTCCATTAAATGAGCAATCATATTTTTTCTCTTCACTAGCGTTACACAGCCCATCAATCTGCACTCTGTCACCGTTTCAGGGCAGAGGTGTTGGTGTGTGGCACTTTTTAGGCCTTTCTGACTACTTTCGCTGTACAATAATAATTACAACCACTCTTAAAAAGTTCAAACTAGCCGAAAGGGAAGGAGCTGGGGACGAGGATTTGGGCTCGTGAAAAGCGCGAATGACGCGCGAGAATAAGCAAAGGTTCTCCTCCACCCTACCTCGCGCGCGTTAGCGAAAATGCCGTTCATTTTTCTTTTGAAAGCCTGCCTGCCATACTAAGAGTGTCACTAAAATTAATAGCATAATTACCTGGGAAATATTTCCCCGCAGCCTAAGGGACACGGTCTTGTGGCGTTTATGCACTGGAATTGTTCGTGCTCCTGCGACGAATCCCACGCTATCAGATCACCACCTCTTGCTGAAAGATTTTTCGTTCTGTGGCATTTTTCCTCTAGCCTCACGGAATGAGCATCCCACGTTTGAACATTTCACAAGCAGGTTGGGGCAATGTTTTTGGTGCGCTCGTGCCCTTGCATATTTCCCCTTCCAGTCACATCCTTGACTTTGGCACTCCACAGCAAGTTCGCTTGTGATGAGGTCGAGGGCGATATTGACAGAAATAGTCGAAGCCTGAAATTCCCTCCGACACATAGGGCACTTCGGATTTGCTGTGGATTTGGTGAGTTGTCTAAGGCAAACCAGGCATCCAGATTGGCCACAGCTCAAGCTGACGGGCTTTAACATGGCGTTGAAACTGTATGGGATGGGAAAGAAATCGATCATTATTCTGTGTGCTTGGAATAAACAACTCATTTCCACGCAACGTGCAACTTACCAAAATCAGTAAACCTACAGTTGAACTGCGTCATGTTCAGTTATCAGGAAAAATTCTGCTAAATCTAAGCGTGAAAATGAAGGAACGCGTGCCTTGTGGACCACCGCGGTCAAACGTCTAAATTGTTATTTTTGTTTTTTATTGCTGGGATTTCATTTACCAGTTAGAGAAAAATGGGAAAAGATGTATAAATCAGTTAGTCAACATAACTATCTTTCCATTTTTCTCAAAGTTTTGAGCTTTTTTCGCTAAAAACGCTTCGCGCTAAAAGAGAATCATGTTTGTAAATGGCGCCGATAATAACGTCAGCATCGGTTTTCAATCACTTAGAACTTTTTTAGTAAACTTTTAAAAAGTTTAGTAAACTAACAGGATGTTAGTAATACCCTAAACTTTCGATAGTGAAAGTAGCAACCTTAACTTTGAAGTATTTCGCTTAACTTTTGCAAATTTCACTCGTTTGACCGCTGTGAAGCCGTGTGGGGACGATCAAGGACAATAAGATCGTTTTCAGTTTCGAAACAATACGTTTCTGTTAGTCACTTACACGTGCGAAAAATCCTCCATTTAAGGGAATGCCTGGGGTTTCTCACTTATGTCAGCTATATAGGTATGTTCGGCCTCATCGGGTAGGTCGGGTAGGGTTTTTGCTCTGTTTTGGTCGGCAAACAGGTATACACTTTCCTCATTTTGGTCTGTAATCGGGTATGGTTTTCAAGAGAACTACGGAGTATATAAACGTTTCAATTCCAAATGAGTAGGAAACAGAGAGAAATATGCGAACTCGAATTGGATTTGAAGAATTGTTTTGTCTGCGCTCTAAGCTAAGTAATAATAACATAATTTCTGCCTAAAGGACAGGTCTAGAAACAGGTATGAATTTTAGAGGTCTGGTCTGAAAACGGGAGTAGAAAATGTTGATCAATTTATGTTTCTGGGTAACCGAGCCCGGTTTCTTATAACCGTGCCCGTTTTATTAGATAGGGCCAAGAGAGAATGAGCTAAGAGAGCGAATCCCTGTGCCCCATGATAGTTTTTTTTTTATCTGTTTAAAGTTCGCGCGCGTGCTGCGTAGGTTATTTTTGTCTGTTGTTTCCGTGACCCGCGTGGTCTACTTTCACTTGAACGTGACATGTTTCGCCGCCAAACATTTGAAGTTTGACAGCCATTATAGTAATTAGCGCCGGGAGCCGATACTAATCGGCTCCCGTTGTCGACATGTTTCTGATCAGCGCGTTCCCCTCATAATTTAGGAATGAATTTCATTTACAAAGGGATTGCAGTATTGGAGTCAAAATTTCACTTTGAGATTAAAGATTGAGATTTTCTAACGGCTGGTAGCCATTTAAAGTAACGAATGTTGAATTCTGACACACCGTGAAAGCCAAAGGCAAAGGTTATCACGCGCGAAACGACGAAACCTTTAATAGGTGGCTGGCTTCAATTTTTTATGCAAATGTGCAAGATATTTTTTCTCTTTATACAGGAATGTATTTCGTTCAGAAACGGTACATCTGCTTTTAAGGATTATTCTTGAGAGTTTCAAACTGCATTATTTCTCCTTAACGTCTATTACTTGCGATGAATATTTCGCCCTGCAAACAAAAATCAGGTCAGATGCTTCAAGCTGTTAGACAATCGCTGACCTTGATGCCAGAGACTTTTTATGCGCGGTTTCCGGTTTCGGTCAATTCTTTATAGTGAGCGGCGTGCCCACATTTGTCTAGCCCCCTCTCAAAATTCAAATGTTTGAACCCACTTTGAACCTATTTTCTTGTTACGTTTCCACGGTTGGATCCAAACGACGGTATCACAGCTCGCGGGTGTGCGTGGATGTCGCCAAAAGAGACAGTTGTCGTTTTTTACTGATGTAGGGAAGACCTCAATTAGCAATTTCCTTTGAGCCGGAACCGCTTTCTCCGGCGAACGTTCACAAGCCACGACCGTTTTGCTCTTCGGCGGCTACTCTGGCCAGATTTTTCGACGAGGAAATCTGTTGATTCGTCGGCGAAAGTAATACAAAGTTTGCAATGTAATGAATTACCCGCCAAGTTTAAAATGACATGACGCCACTCTAACCGACTAATAAGGTGGCGTCCTTAAAATAACCACACAGTATGACACAGAACCAAGAATAGATTGAAAATAATTTTCATGGGAAGAGGGTCATGTACGGGGGATTCGCTCTCTTAGATCATTCTCTCTTGATAGGGCACGACATTGATAAAACGGAGCCGGTATCTTTCATACTCCCAAAACTTTGTGTCCAATGAGCCCGTTAACTAGTCAACAAACCCGTACCCGGTAAACAGAGCTAATATACAAGTTAAAAGACATTTAACATCAGCTGTTCTCTTCATGGTTATGCCATTTCAAGCCTCAAATATTGTGTCATGTGATGCTAACAGTATTTAAACCCGTCCTTGTGTACGATAGGAATATACAGATGCATTTATATGCAAATTTGCCACATTGTGTCACCAACCTTCACAGCAATTTGTTATCAGGGATATTAATTTTTCAGATCCTTTACTTAATTTTAGCTTCATTTAAAGGCACTTTCATCTTTTCTCCTCTGTTTCGAATATACCATTTACCGAAACCACAAAGAAAAATCAAGCAGCATCATTTCTCTACAAATTTGACTTATGCAAATTTGTGACATTTTGCCACTGGTGGTCACGAAACTTTTTATTTTGTAAAGGCGAATCCGGATTACCCAGATTTTTATTTCATATTCTGTTAATATAAGAGCTAAACTTTGTCCTAGTTTACATTTTGGCTAGGTATCACACATAAAAAGGTGAGTTTTTTGCCTCTGAAGTTGCTCATTTTTTAGCCATTTTAAAAAGTGCGCTTAGTGGTAGTTTTCGAAAAACCGTAAAAAATTCAAAATCATGTTTATGGTTCAAAACGTACCACGGATAGAAAGAAAAGATAGAATGGTTTTAAACAAGAATATTTCTGATTTATAGCTTTGAATCTTGCCTTGGTACAGACACGATAAAGTAGGTCATTTTTACTCCAATTTTTGCATAATTAATTAGGTTAAAACCGCTTTTTTCGTTTTTCCTCATTTTCTCGAAAACTATAGATTCTTGAAAGTTGAAAATATTTTTTTTCGAAGACAGTTCTCCAAAGGGGTTTTACTGACAAATTATCACAATTTTCGATTTTTTTAGCCTGGCCAGCGATTCTCGTTATTTACAGTCATGGGCTCTTAAGTGTTATTGTCAGAAAAAACCGGGCAATAGCAAAAGATCGAGGTCGGCCGTTTACCTTCATGTTTTCACAGTATGAAAGCTATCTGAAAAGATGAACAGCCGTGACATTTGGAGAAGTAGCCGTTTGATTTTCTTCGAGATATCACTATTTCGAGATTTTGGGACCTCCGGCGACCTAAAAAAGCACAAATTTTGGCCAAATTTGGGTGAAGTTAAAACATACTTGGTCAAACTCCCAAAAGGTCTTGTATTTTATCCATAACATCCATCGCTTCGTTAGTCGACTGGAATATGTTAAACTTCCTTTGCTTAAATACTCTATTTTTTACCTGGTGCTAAAAATCGCTCCTGAATCGTTAATGAGCGTCACCCAAATTTCAGTCATTTTCAGTTGACTGTTTTACCGAGATGCGGCAATTTAATTCAAAAGTAAAATCATTTCTAGATGGCTTATTGTGCTGTTATCAAAATCCAGTTTGTTTAAAATTGGTATCTAGCAGCAAATTGGAAAAAATGTCATGCGAAGGTACAATAATAAGCGTCAAGTATAAATATTTCCCGCCAAATTTTATAGCGCCAAGTTTCGTTTTACTGTGATTGTGGCTCGTAGATATCTTAAAGTATACTTTCATGACTTCACTAAAAAGATAATTGAAAACTTTTATATCACTATTGACAAGGATAAACACTGTAAATCTCCGTTTTGATAACAATCTCCTGAATAAACAACTAAAAATGTCAAAAGCACGAAGCCCATTTTTCCCGCGAAAGTTTTAATTCATTTGTCACGCAATAGAGTAAAGCCAGACTTTATTCTCAGCTTTCAGACGGTCGCCAGAAAACAAACTTAAATCAAACAATGCCATCAACATGAAGACTTATCCTGATTAAGTTACTTCATATGGACACATTTTTCTCCAACTCTTGGACGTAGAGAAGACGTAGAGAAGAAAGCAACAGAACTTTTCTCTGCTCAATAACGGAATCTTAAATAAAATCAAGCACGGCAGTGAATGCCTTCAGATGTGCAGATGCCTTCTGACCCTGATCTGTTTCGGTTTTTTCACGTCTTTTGTGGCTCGGGCTGTATCACGCAGATGATTTAAATACCTCAAGTTAAATAAACTGCGACAGGACGGGTGAAACTGGGCCTCTCGTGCAAACAAATCTTCCCCTTGTACTTTGCGATGAAGATGACTATTGCCAAGCTCGAGGGCTCGAGGCTCAATCTGTTTCCCAGTAGGCTCCTTTAGAGCTCCGTCTTTGTCCTTGAACACTGGGAACTTGATGCATTGCTCTGTTTTTCCACACGATTTCAGTTCAAGCTTTTCACAGAAAATGCATTTGGAGGAAACAGCTGCGGAGCAGATGAGGATGATGATTTACGAGGGGAACGTGTTGTTGTTGTGGCTTCACTATTAGGTGTCACACTGGACTTCAACTTGTCCTGGTTTTTAGTAAACCTTTGGTAACAGGTGATAGCAGATTGCTTCTAAATTTGCACCCTCGAGATTCTCTGGAATCTGCAAACAAACATCTTCCATGCGATTCGGTGAATCATGAGGTTCCATAACTCGCCTGTCACGAACTTCATGTAATTGGGAAAGCTTCTCAGTAGCAGATCCCTTGACATTACTGAGTGCTGTGAAATCGCCATGATGAATGCCACTCGCATGTAAAATACG